AGCTGCTGGCCATGCTTTACACAAAGATTTCAAGGTTAAATCATTAGCAAGACAGGCTGTTTTTTTGTTTTAAAAATCTTAAATGACGTTTTAATCAAGATACGTCTTGATTTACAAAGCACAGTATAAAGTTCTGCAAAGAATATTGATATAGTAATATGGAAATAAAACATGTGGGTTTTTGTTTTGCACAAAAATAAATAATGCAGCTTTTCTACCTATATATTAATTATGATAGTGTTTACTTAATATCATGTTAAGCTACATAAATCTGTTCTGTTGAATCCTTTGAAAAGCTTTTAAGACTCAGTGTAAGTTTTTGATAAACCTCCAAGTATTCTTGATTTCTGAACTCTGAAGCGCTCATTTTCATTACAAAACACCTGCTCAGTCTCAGTCATGCCATGGGTGATTTTATTAAGGCATGAAGCTAATCAATGAACATTTCAAAACAAATCTCCTCATAACTATGTTTAATCCAACCTGTTATTTCACTTACAATGTCAAGAGGTCAAAATGGTGCTAAAGGGTGTAACTTGGCACTTCAGCTGAAGAGCAGCTGTCTGAGCTTATGCACTTGGCCCCAGTGAAGGACAGAGAATACAAGCATCTGTCCAGCCATTTGAAAAGGTCACTCCTCAAAAAACACTGAGACATTCTGAACTCCTTGCAAGACTTCCTGTGCCACAGTGAGTGCAGTATTACACTTTTGTTAAACCGAATCAACCATTCATTAGAAAATGCACATACTTTGTGCTACAGTTGTAATGCCATCAAAAATGCCATCTAGATGACAACATGAGAAATGGATGTCAATTTCCCCCAACAAATCCTGTGAAACATTTTATGTCTTTATAGTACAAAGATATTTCAATTAAAAGTTATGATTAATGCCTTGTTGTTTAGATAAACACTTTTTTGTCTCAATTTTAATTTGAATATAATAGATATAGATGGTGAAGAACATATACATGTATGTAGTTTAAACTGAAATCAAAGTCTCCAAACATTCTACACTGGCACAAGACAAGCCCATGGAATACTGTTAAAAAAATGCATAAACCTGTATTTAAAGCATACTGAATGCCTTAAAAGTTAAAATAAATTAGACTTACAGTTAAAACAAGTTAAAGGACCTTGCTCTCCACCACAGTTTAAATTATCCAGCTTATGCAGTCCCACTAAATGCAATTCTGTCCTTTTTTCAAAAATCAATAAATGTTATAAGCTGATCTAGAAAAAAGAATATACCTTTTGTGACAATGAGAAGTACTGGAATTGCAATAAGACTTTCAGATGCATTTGTAAGAAAACAAAACATGCTATATTTGCAGGTTAATTTAGAGACATTGATACTGCAGTATGTACATGACAGAAAAGATATCAGGTATTATTGTTATTACACACAAGTGAATTATTTTAAAACCGTCCAACCTTTATTTCTTTGTAATGTTATCTGATAAATTCTCCATAACCATGCATTATCTGCATCTATCCTCAGCTGAAACACCCTTTAGTCACTTAAGTCAGTTTTCCTTGTTAACTAACCTGAAAGTGTAAGATGATGTCAGTCAAAAATAGTAATATACTTCTAAGTGCATGACAAAAAAAAATGAGAACACGTCAAGGAAAGAAAAGGTCAGGCTAATCCCGAGTCAGAATATGCAAGTTTTACCATGTGGATTATTTTTAGAAGATAAAAAATCTGAGTTAACAATTTAACAATTTGATTACCATTTTGTCCATATAATGGAGGTACCTTTACAATATTAACTAATTGTACATGGTCAGTATAATTACATACAATTGTATGGGCAGCATATAATGAGCAAAATGAACAAAACTTTAAAAAAATAAAAGGCAAGAATATTTTGCAGCAATGTTGGTACATCATATTCCCTCTTTATATAAGTTTAAATGGACAGACATTAAGTCCCTAATTTATATTTTAAATATCAATTAATAGACCCTAATACTAAATGTAAACTTTGATTTAAGAAAGCCATGTTCCAAACAACACAAAATAGAAGATTCACGGAAATACAGTAATAATGCCTTTCAGTTGCGGACTATTGACAACAAAATGTAATTTTCTCAAACATTATTAAACGACACATTTCTGCTATATTTTGTTTAAAATTATATGATCTTTAAATAGATCGTTCAGAAAATATGGATGTTTTTGTGTTTACTTCTCACTTCCATCACCAGTCAAGTAATGGTTGTTCTTTCACAGCTAAATTAAAAACCTTTCAAGTTATGCCATTGTTATGTTATGTTGCTTAAGTCACCTCTGTTCTATTTTACCATCAGCCAAAGAATCGGGCTTCAACTTCATAGAAACTGAGTATTGCCACAGTAGGTGGCAAAGAGACTTAGACTATTCCAAAACAGCACTTGATTTGTACAAAATCATGTTATTCCTATGGCAAAAATGTATGATTTATAATTCTATATTATGGCAAATACTAACACATTTTTTATGTATGCAATCAATGCAAGTACAAATTTCACCAATACACTATACCAACTCCAATAGTGTTAGGACAATTCTGTATGGTGTATTTACTTTGCTTAGCTTTTATTTGATGAGGAATTAAAATGTACACAAACATTCATTTGATCCAGACTGCAATTTGACAAACAGAAAAAAAAAACCATGTCAGTCTCCTGCCATAATGGCTCTCCTCCCAATAATGCAGCTATAACCATCAACTTTATCTTTTCAGGAAGGATCAACGGCAGTGTTTGAACATCAAAGCCTACCTCCTCTGAAAACTACACAAAGTTCTAAATTATATACAGAGAAGCTGATCCACACCAGGCAGTCCAGAGGATGATGATTCAAAGGGAACCCTTAAACCCTGCTCAACTAAAACTACAAACTAAACTCAATATTACAGTAAGTCAGACCTACGCACATTCAAAATGATCTACAGGAGAAAATAAAAGAGTTATCTGGCACTACTTTTTGATGTATTTATGTGTTTTGTTCTGCAAGGCTTAAGTTACAACTAATTCTTGAGCAATTTCTTGATTGACTCTTATTTGAATTAATAAGAATTTGATTGCTTAAAAGAACACGCTTTACCACAAAAACTAAACTTGACTACAGTATTTGCCAGAGGTGATAAGACCTGCATTAAGTGATCTCAAGTGCATAACACCTCTAAATAACTTACAAAACTGATAAATCCTTTCAGCTGAATATCCTAAAATATTTAACATCTACAATTGTACTCCAGAGCCTCAGTGCAACCACAACATGTAGAATGCAGCAAGTGAATCAATTATCAGTTATAAATAACATTTAAAATATATACAAACCTCTTTGTGTCAAATTCCCCTGGTCACAAAGGCATCTTCATGCATTTAATAAATACTAGACTGCAATAGCATTTTTCTTTTTTTCTGGAGTAATTTTATTATACTTTATATCTGTAATCAAAGACTTCACTGGGGCTTGCAATGTTTATCAGAAGTTAACCATCATCCCTTTTTTGTGGGCAAACAGAGACTTCACTAAAAAAAGGTACCTGTTGTTTTAAAGGTAATAAAAAACATTCAGTAACATCCTAGTGCAGTATTTGTTCCATTTGAAGTAAAAGAATTATGAAGTATGTATAAAATGTAACAAATTCGACACTAAATTAGCATGTGAATTACAGTAACTACAGAGGACAGCAATGATTTATGAATGCCACCAACTGACCTAAGGAATTTTATGGTAGTTCTTCTTGCACCTTCTGTATTTAGGTCAAATACTTTATTCAACTTTATATTTATACGAGCATTCAAGGAATAAAAAGTAAATTAACACTGCAATACTGTAAATGCTCTTTTTAGGTGATGAAGAGAAGTACTTATTAGGTGTAAATCCTAAAATCCTTATAAAGGGATCAAAGTCCTTTAGATTAATGCTGGCAAGAGACAAAAAGTTCTTTCATCCCCACACTAAACATAACTTATCAAATCAAAGAGTTCCCTCATAAATAAAACCAATATTGTATTGTGAATTATGAAGAAAAAAAAACCTAAGGGATCTATTCATTTTCCTCACTGCGGAGACACTGATGAAACCCCGTCAAACTGAAGCATCACTTTTTGCATTATTTTTGCAGTACAGCACTCCAAGATTTATCAAGTCATGTAAACGTCTTTAAATGCAGCACATTTTCATGAAAGCATTTGCTTTAAATGTGATCAAAGAAATTTACTGGAAAAGGGCATCATTCTGAATGTGCTGTCTAATTCCAACGGGTAGACCGGTGCATTTTATCATGGGCTTACAATGGTACAGAGGAGCCCACAAATGAGCACCAGTCTCCGCAGTGGCATTTCAGAGTTGTCGTGCCAGTTTCTCGGACAACAAAGAGAGGCTGTCATCACCCTTTTGACTGTATGTTTTATGTGTTGTGTTAACAAGTAAATTTAATTCAATACACAGTATTATTCCCGGTGCATCTTGAATAATTAATTATTAAAAGAAAAACGCTAGGTACGCTGTATGCATATAAGGTCAAAGTAATTCTTCCAAACACTTAAAGCCGCATTTTTGTGTGTGGACTTTTGGAACTTCTTAATACGACGCAACAACCTCTGTCCCTACAGTACATCATATACAGCTATCGATGACCAGTACTATCATGTCTGCGAAATTATTGTCGCACTTTCTAATACTTGATAGCTATAAAACCCAAATAAAACAATTGGACGTTTAATCATTAAACGTTTCAAAACTTGGTATATTAGACAATAACAAAAACAAATCAAAACGATTCCTTAAGTGGTCCAAAGCACTGCTTATCTTTTTAAATTCATGGGTATACTGCACTTAAACACAACCCATACTTATAAGACTTGCATACAATTATTCTACTATTCAGACTTATCCCCATAAAAACTTTACACCTATTTATACAACCAAAGCGTTTCGGATTTTTAGATAAAACTATGACCAGACAAATATGAGGACAGGTTGATCAATGCAATAAACCTACCTGTCATCGTAACAGAAATCAGCGCTGAGGGTGTTCAAATACAGGACCACAGCCACAGCGCTGCACACCAACTCTGCAATCATTTCTTTAAAAAAAGATGACAAAAAAAAAACAGAAAAAGGAAATAAAGAAAGAAAATAAATCAATGCACGCCTCTATCTTCTTTCTTCTTTGTTAATGTATCGCCGCAAAAACAAAAATTCCAATTCCCCATCCTTGCGAATTGGAGCAAGAACATAATCCAGGCATCCTCCCTCTAACCCATTTTGAGTTTATAGAGGTTAGCGTTGATCCGACACAAGACAGCGTAAGACCTCTTATTTTTACAGCACTGCTGACTGCATTTGTAAAGCTTGCTCTACTGTGCTCCGGGTTTTTGCACTGTAGCCGCTGTGCCTAAAGCAAAGTGAGCCGCGTGTGGTTAAAGGTCTGAGCGCGCCTGCGCGTAGCCACTCCTCCCTTCTACGTCTCGAATGTTACACTGCAAGGGAGGGGGTATATTTGAAAGGTTTTTTTTTTCTTTCGTTTTTGAATGTGAGGTCATGTATTAATTTATCTCAGCTACTCAGTACAATTTAGGGCACAAAATATTACTAAAGAAATATTTATTGAAATAAAAAAATTAAAAATAACTATCAGATTAAATACCAATAAATTGGGGGTCTTGAAGTCATTTAAAATATCATAAAAGCCAATAAAGTGATATCGCCAGTTAGTAAAACGTAATAATTATTTATCCCCAACACTGAAAGTGCATGTTTATATCTAAAACCCACAGGAGATCTTTTACAGAAAGCTTTCACTATGACCATATAGCTTTAATAACATAAGAAAATGACTAGAGAAAGATAAAAATCTTAACAAGAACGATTTATTGTGATCATTTTATCTCCCTTATATACTTTATATAAATGATATACATCGCTAACCTTTCTCATCACTCGCATGCTGTTTCGAAATGATAAACGATAAATGATAAAAGTGACTGTAGGGTGAAACATGTTCTTGACAACAAAATAACAATCTGCAGAAAGAAAAGGCGCACCGCCTGTTTTCAGTATGTGACTGAAAAACAGGATTAAAAAATATTAAAAGTATGAGTGACTTTTAATCTGCTGCTGACAGTGTTATCAATACTATAAACGATTCAATTTCAATTTCCCTATGATTTAATTTACATAATTTATATTCAAATTATTTCAAAGAAGTCTCCAAATATTGCAATACTCTCCAAAAAGACTGAAGAAAAACAGAGCTGTTACAAACGGGAGAAGGCCATTTGGTCCATCCATCCTGTTTAATAGTAGCTTTTTGATCCAAAGATCATTTAAACCCTATAACCCAATAGTACAAATTCGCAAATATTTCAAATGAAAGGCTGCTATGTACTGAATAACGTACAGTAAATTATACTTTATAAACAAATTTAATTGAAGTTATATGAAGAGGCACACATGTAAACGTGTGCCATGCAGTTTTATAAATCCTAAATAATATATATCTACTGTATATTTTTTATTTTCTTGACTGGACCTTCTTGATTAAAACTGCTAATGTACATGAAAATAATACTATATTAATATAAGAAAAAAACACATCTCTGAACTGGATTTCATTTCTTTTTCTGTTTCTGACGAAAACATACTGTACTTTCACACCTTCACCAAGGCTGGACGTGCAAAACACAATGAAAACTAAGAGTAACAGGATAAAGTGGCATAGCGTGCCAGCATGCAGTATTCAATGTGCAACAGTGAAAAGGAGAGATGAGGCCTTTGGACTCATAACTGGAAAGCTGTGAATTCAAATCCCAGGTGGGGCACTACTGTACTGCTACTTCCTTGAGGAAAGTACTTATCTCAGATTGCTTCAGTAAATTGGTCAGCTGTCTGAGAACAAACAATTGTAAGCTGCTTTGGATAAAACAACCTCAACTATTACAACCTGAATTGAATTTAAAATAAAACCTGGTCTGAAGAGAAACATAGGACATTAATGACCTCTTTGAATTAATTTACAACTGTGAGTTAGCCTTCTAGATATGTCTAGAAAACCCGGGAGTAAAGCAGACTGCACAAAACTGTGTACTGGTAGCCTTGGAGGTTGGGAATGATGAAATACAGGGAATTGTCTGGCAATATCTTTTACTTGCTGTGCACCTGCTACCTCATTTTTGACAATGTTTTTCAAAGTGTGAAAAAGGAGTTAGCCTAAAGCTGTATATATCCTGTATCTACAGAATATATAATATATAAATTATATATACAGTATATGTAATTGCCTTTTGCCCATGAATGCAATAGGGCTGCTTCCTTGTGTTACAGTGAATAAAAAATGAATATACCAAATTGGTATGTATAAAAAGTAGAAAAGAAAAAAATAAAATTGATTTTGAAATAGTCTTCATGAAGTTTACAATTATGATTATGATCAAAACCATTTAATGCAAGAAAATGTAATTGAATGTTTTATGAAATGGTCAATCTAGTGAGAGAATATCTAGTGGATAGTTTTTAGAGACACAAAGTGTTTAATGTGCTGGGAGATTTGGAGAAACCATAACACAGTATATTTAGGTTTTGACACCAGCTCTCATTTATGCCTAATGCCAAAATCGTATCTTTAAAGTTGTTTTTTAAAAAGAGTTGTGCACTTTAAAAATATACATTTAACTACATTTAACATTTTCTTCATTGAAACCATGTGAAATATACATAAGGAATTACAAAGTGATATAATTGACCTCTGAACAACTGCTTTCAAACATTATGAACTGAGTATAACATGTTGCACTAGGGATGGCCTTGAGTGAATAAGCAGTTAAATTAACGTATAGCAAACATCTTGAAGAGCATGACAATACACTATAAACAGAATGCTATAGAGACCTGTAATTTGCTCACAGCAGTAGTTTGACAAGCAAATGTAATAACAGGATAGAATTATTGAAAGGTCTAATTATTTTATTCGATGTGTATTAGAAAACCCAAACAGCCTAAGATGAAATGAAAGAATTAACGTACAATTGAGAAGAAAGCGTGATTTTATTTTTTCTATCAAGGCTGGAGGGCAGCAGAGCATTGTGGATAAGTCTCTTGACTCAGAACTGGGATATGGTGGGTTCAAGCCCCTGCTGCAGACTCTGCTGTTATACCTCGAACATGGAACTTTTCCCCAATTGCTCCAGGCCTCCAACTAGGAGGGGAGTCACATGCTCTCTGTTTGCTTCACACCATGGAAACCAAAAATGATCTGGCCGTTGTGAGCCATTGTTACTCAAATATGGAAATTAGCTACCTAACACCTAGCAGGTTTTTGCCAACATATTTTAGCAAAACCAAGATGGACATATTTTGTTGTACCAGTTCTCATGTTAATTTCCTTTAACATCTTTCACTTGATTATGTAAATAATATATCAATTATAATATATCAAAATAAGTTTTGTCTGGACAATAACTTGAATTGTCTGTTTATAAAGAGCTGTTAAGTTACTTTTTAATAATGTGCACTAACCACAGGAAGGAAAGGATGTTTAAAATACTTATATTAAGGATTTCTTTTATTCTATGAATACTTCTTTATAGGTTGCGCATTGTGGGAGACCTAAATCATGAGAAAGTGAAATCTGACAGTAGGTATTTAGGTATTGCTTGTGAATAAATTTGCAGAAAGTAACTATCCCTCCTGTTTTAGTTTTTGTAGAAATAAAGGAAATTCGTCATTTTTGTACTGTAATGTGTATGCCCATGTAAACTAATTTTATACAGCTAAATTTAAATATATGATGTTTCACTTGACATGAAAACTTTGAGAATAACATTCAATTAGTCCACCAGAGGGCATATATCATAAGCAGCTGCAAGAGTCTTATACATAAGAAAAGAGTTAACTAGCTAATGTGAACAAACTTTTCTTGTTCTTGTTCTGCTATATGCTACAGGCTTGGGGACTTTGAAGTAAAACTTCAAAGTCTACAACAAGTGAAAAAAGTTTTTTTTTCTCAGTGGAAATGCACAGTATGTGCATTTATGTCACTTAAAACTCGGGCTTTTAAATGCATAGAACAAAAACCTTTGAGATTTTTGTTAAACTGTGGAATGATTGTTTTTAAAAATATGGTTATTGAGGAAAGAAAAAGTGTAAGTGTGATCTCTTATTTTGCCCAAATAAAGAGACCAGTATATACAGTAGTAGCCCCACACATATCTGATGCAAGTTTATTTCTATCGCAAGGCCCTCTTCAACCCAAAAGCATGTCAATGTGTTCATTCAGAGAACAGCAGGACACTATGATGTAATCCCTATCAGGAATTAATTAAATATATCAAAAGGGCTGACCCAAGTGCAATGTAAATCTGAAAACACAAAAGTTTACAAAATGGATTAATACTAAGATTCATTTGCATTTAGATATTAATACCTATATGTATCAAATGGTTTAATATTAATATCTAATTGATATTAAGTGTTTCTCTGAAATAAAGCTATTTAGGAAGGCATGTCTTATTTTCTGGAAGTATGCTTCAAAAATAGAAAAAGGTATGTCCAAACAATATCCATGTACTTATAATAATATTATAAAATCCTACAAAAGCTAGTTTACAGAATAGAGTGCATAATAGTAACTTTGTTTATAAATTAAAAATTTACTACACCGTCAAATCCTTAATAACAGGTATATTTACAAATATAATATATATATATTTTATTGTATATACAGTAATATAAAGGTATACAGTGTGGATTAAAAATAAACAGATGTAATGTGAAATTATATGGTATACATACATGCAATGTTTTTTGTTTGTGTGCTCAATTTATGTCTGTTTTCTGAAATATAAAATTTACAGCTATGTAGTAAAACCAAATATGACAAGACAGGATATGAAGACTGGATTCTGGACGTCTTGCTGGCAAGTTAGAAACCCTGCAAACCCTGAGTTCCTCTTTCTACTGTGGTTTATCTTTTACAGTCTTGGTTTAGGTAGCTTTTACTTATCAATCATGAAAATCTGTCAATTAACCGTTAGTTTCTTAACTGTTTAAGATTTTATTCTAAAAATAATGTTTTGTCTGTCTGACTAAACACAGTCAAGGGCATATAGTAGGCCTATGTCCCGTCCATTTTATTGGCCTAAAGGTACCTAATATAAAGTAACTGTCTATCTGACTCTATCCGTGTATAAGCCCAGTTATTAAATCAAATTCAGGAACCCGAATTTAGATTAGTTAGAGGGGTTCTCTGAAGCTATTTTAGCATCACCACTATTTACACCAAAGAAACACAGTTATCATAAAGACGTTATATTGCATGTACTGTACAGTACCTTTATTGCAGATCTAACTGTGAAAAACTGTGTTCTGTGAAATCTGATATCTTCAGTTAAAGCATAATGGAACATCTGCATTT